ATGCCCCCCCCCCCCAAGAATATGGCTATTACATAGAGCTTGAGCTCTGAAGACTGAAGCCTCTGTTTGCAGATCATGTCTCAGATTTGAAGTCACGTCTGCTCCCTCCACATCTTTCCAGCTAACAGAGTGAAGGAAGATATATATATATATATATATATTTTAAATATGTCTTTATTGCCCGGCTGGTGTGGCTGAGCGGTTGAGCATCGACCTATGATCCAGGAGATCACGGTTCAACACGTTTAAAAAATAAATAAAAATACATAAAAATAAATATGTCTTTATTGATTTCAGACAGAGGAAGGGAGAGAGAGATAGAAACATCAATGATGAGAGAGTCGTCTATAGGGCTGCCTCCTGCACACCCCCCACTGGGGATGGAGCCTCCAACCTGGGCATGTGCCCTGACGGGATGGAACCATGACCTCCTGGCTCCTACCTAGGTTGAGGCTCAACCGCCGAGCCACGCAGTTGCAGCCAGGCTGAAGGAAGATATTTTGTTACCTGCTTTTATTTGGGATTGGTTTAGATTTTAAAGTAAGTGGGAATTCACTTGGGTCTAGTGTTCAAGAACTCTTTAGCTTCCCCTCTCTTTTCACTCCTGAGAACTAACTGTAAAACTTTGGGCATATTGAGAAGAAAATGTGATATGACAATGTAGTACAGCAGTGGAGTGGTCAGGACCTGCCACTGAGGAGCTCTGTGGTCCTTGGGCAGATGACCGGGGCTTTCTGTGCCTCAGTTTCTTCATCTGTGAAGGGCATGTAATGTGTGTCCCTCCAGGGGTGAGAGAATGTTTAGGAGCTCAGCACAGTCCTGTCATCCTTATCAGCTACAATGTTACATCTGATGACACTTCTCTTTTGCAATGTTTAATATAAACTCTTCAGTACTGACCTAACGGTTGAGTTTGTCCAACTGCTACAGGGACCTCTCTAGTGGGGCTCGGAAGTGACCAGCTAAGAAAGTTGATGACATCCTGTGAGGAGCTGCCAGCATCCAGACTGGGCAGGGATCCGGTCTTGTTGCCCGATGTACTGGTGGGGGTGGACAGGGACCTTAGTGACCTGCTTAGAGGAGGGGCCCCATTTTAGGAGTGGCCTTACCACGTGGGCTCAGCACTGGAGGGGATGCAAAAGACTGCATTGGCCTCACGCTCAGGAGGATGGCACCCTTCCAGAAGGTGCCAGAAGCCTTTGGGTGTTTTTCTATCCAACTTTAGATGTTCTATCCAAACATTTCTATCCAATGTTTAAAGTAAGCATCCAACTTTAAAAGTGAAGCCCAATGAAGGGTGGTCTCCCCACTAAAACAAGTGTTTTCTTTGCAGGAAAGTGTGGGTCTCTAGTAGGTAGGAATATAGAGCCAGCACCTTCTCAAATTGCGGAGGAATCAGTCCTTTGGTTGTCTGCCAGTTGGAGAGGAATGGAAAGTTTATTTTTAAAAACAAGAAATGAATTCACTCTCAGCTCTGGCCCACGGTAAATCATGAATACCCCCATTTAATCACAAGAGCCCCATCATTAGTCGGGCTCACAGACCACTTCAGGCCAAGCATAGGTAAGGAAGCATCTTTGCTTTTCTTTTTTGTAAAATTCACCTTTTCCCTGTGTGTTGAGTGGATTACCAAGTCCCTCTCCATCCCTTTGCCGTGTTTCCTTGACAAGCAGACTAAGTTCCCCAGCGCTTTCTTTCAACCTTCCTCTCGTCTTTCCATCTGCCTACAAGTACATATGATTCTGCAAGTAGATCTGACTGGGCGGAGCAGCCAGGCAGTGAGAGTGGATATGCACGGCCCACGAACCCCGCCTCACTGCCCGCAGTGGCCATCCGGCCAAGTGAGCTCCCAGATCCAGGCCAGGCTGTGGGGTGCCTCCTAGGCACCCCAGCTGGAACACAGAGCCCTGCACCAAGCCCCCAGGTTTGCGGCCCTCCTGCAGGTCGCTTTGGGTCAGACTTGCAAGTGAGGTCGTCTTCCCCTGCATCCCAGACTCCTTCACATCCAGGGAACCTCATTCTTTGTGATGCGGCCTGATGACAGTGCTGGAGGCCTGGGGCCTCTACAGGCCTGTTCCTGCATGGAGGAGGGAGGGATGTTGGAGAGCTGTGGCCCAGAG